TTGTTTTTATTTCCAAAAAAAAAAAAAAAAAAAAAAATTAATGTTCCCTAAATTGTAGGAAAAGGGGCGCGTAGGGAGGGAAAAAAATTTCTTGGCCAAATTTTAGCAATCAAACACTACTTTTGGTGATGTTGGAAATTATTTTTTTTTCCTAGGAATATCCATTCCATCAAACAGGGCCTTAGAGTTTCCAAAATGTTTGTTGATAAGTTAATACCCTTGTTTAGCCGTTAAATAAGAACAATTGTTGATTAATTGTTTGAAATATGACTTAATTCTATGTTATTACGACTTTGTAGGTGAACTCCATGATTGTGGTGGAATTGGAGAAAACGAGCGAAAAGGGCTAAAGTGAATCATATGTAAAGTTTGGGGACTGAAATACAAACAACCAAAAGTTGGCTTGGGCCAAAGAACGTAGATTCAAAAGTACAAGGACTCAATTGGATAAGAAAATAAGTGAAAGGACCAAAAAAAGTGAAAAAGGGCAAAAAAGAACTTGAAGAAAGTTTAGAGGCCAAGTTAAAAGGGCAAAAAAGACCTTGGAGAAAGTTTAGAGGCCAAGTTGCAAACTTGGCCCCCCCAAAGTACAGACCAAGGTGCGCGCTCTCGCCTGCAGAATAGGCGTTGAAGTATCCCAAAAGGTGTAGGCGCGCGCCCTAGTTTGTATTAGGCGCACCTCAAGTGAAAAAGGAAAAAAAAATCTTTATTTCCTTATTCTGTCTAGAAAACAATTGAAGGTAATCTTTTTTACATCCTATAAATAAGAGAACACGTCCGAACACAAGGAGAGCCAAATTTTATTAAAGAGAGCACGAAAAGAGATTTTTACATTGATGGAGAGAAATTGCATCATTTGGGGTTGAGTTTTAAACGAAGAGCTTCAAGCGAAGAATTGAAGTTTTCAAGCTCTTCTCAAGTTTCTTAGTCTCGGGGGATTTTTTTTCTTATTCTTTTATGTGATTTTCATATGACCATGTTAGACTAATGTTTTTATATATTGGATGGATGACAAAACTTTTTGATTTTTAGTTTTTAATTCAAGACTAAGTGTTTTTCTATTAAATATTGTGTTGTGGTTCTATATTCATTAATCTTCCATTGTTTTAATGCTTGCGCATTATTAGGACAATTAATTGCTTATTTGTAGTATTGAACAACTCACAATAAAGGATGAGCCTTGTATATGGAACACACAGACAATAAATATTAGGAATAATATTGATGGCATGATAATCATAAAATTAAATGCATGCCTTTTACATGAATTCAGATTAGGAATAAGATCGGATCATGTTTAATATATATTGGAAAATAATATTAAATAAAATTGGCTTATTGATCATCACAAACACATTAATTACATTGCTTAACACAGGTCGAAAATTGGAACTAGAAGTTAATTGGTGGAGTCCGATATTCAATACATTCGTTTCGTATTTCATAAAAAACCATAATTTATTACTTTCATAGTATAATTGAGTGAAAAAAAAAAAGATCAACAAACACCTTATTTTGTTACAATTGATTGAATTTGGGAACACCGATATACTAGAATTAAACGCCATTTCTCGTGGGACGATACTTTAACTCACTACATTACTACTTGTCAACGATCCCTTACACTTGTGGGATTTTATCGAACAAGTTTTTGGCGTCGTTACTGGAGAATTAATAGCTTAATTATAACTATATTAGATTCGATTTTTACTTGTTTTGGGTTTACAACACATTATCTCATTCTTTTATGTTTTGACTCTTTTCAAGCAAACGACAATTTATGTAAAATCCTGACAAGATCGATCTAGGTCCGATAGATCACGAAATCGAAAGGACTTTCAGATATCGTAGAAGAAAACAACGTGAAGCAAGAGAATTGGTCGAAAATCAGAATTAGAATTAGAATTAAGTTCTTCCACAACCAGAGCAACAGAGAGCTATGGCCAATGATGCTTGTATTAGTTGGAGATTACGTAAATCCAATGCATGCACCAATGAAACCCCAATCATCTACCCACCTTTTAGACAGCCTAATTTCCATATTCAACCAGATGTCATCAATCTCTTCTAGAATCATCAGGACATTAGGTTTTTTGAAATATGCATTTAGAATGCGGCTATTCCCTTACACGTTGAAGGATGTAGCAAATGAGTGGGTTTGCACTTCACCTCACAGGAGTATTTTATCTTGGAATGATATGGTGCAAAAGTTCACGATGAAGTTCTTTTCGCCATTTCATGTCCACCAAATCAGAAATGAAATCTATAATTTCAAACAGAAGGACCTCGAGGCATATCCTGAAGCTTGGGCATGATTCAATTATTTGTTTAGGAAGTGTCCTAACCTTGTCATTCCTAAACAAGTACATGTTTACATCTTCTACTATGGATTACACCCAGAATATCGTAATATGGCAGATGCTTCAGCGGGTGGTTCAATTATGAAGATGGGCGTTGATGAGGCCTATGAATTGTACGAGAGGATAGCGGATAATCAATCAATATAGCCAACCGATAGAGAAACTGCAAAGAAAACTGCAGGGGTGCATAACATAGATGCGGTGAAGCATTAGCGGCATATATGGAAATGTTTACAAAGAAACTAGATAATTTATCTCAATCTGTTAACATGGTACCCCAACTAGCTCCAGTTTACTCAAGTTGTGGGGTAGATCACATTACTGCAAGTTGCCATTTTGCCTCTACACATGTTATTCAGCTTAAGGAAATTAGCTACGCACAAAACTTTCAGAGGCAGCAGAACAATCCCCACTCCAACACTTATAATCCAGGGTGGATAAATCATCTAAATTTCTTATGGTCTAACAATCAAGGGTAGGGACAATGAGGTAATTACTAGAATGGACAACCAGGGTTCCAACAGTAGCATCAGAAGCAACAACATCAAGATAGGAAGCCCTCATTGGAAGATTTTCTCTCTCAATACATCATGTTGAACACTAAGACTAACTTTTAAAACCAACAGATTTCTATCAAGAATTTGGAACAGCAGGTGCGGTAAATAGCAACTGTGTTATTAGGGAGAACTCGGGGACTTTGTCTAGTAATACAATGATAAATTCAAAGGAATAGGTCAAAGCCATCACTACAAACAGTTGAGTTCAATTGCCAAAAATACACATGAAACTGCTAGCTATTGTTACAGAAATGGTGCCTACCACGAGTGAGGAGCACGTTGATTAGTCTAATAAAATCACAGAAAAAAATCCCGTAGAATCTTTAGACGGTCCACATGTTAAGGCAACTGCTCCTGTAAAAACTTACGTACCTCCCATTGTCGCAGAGATTCCAGAATCACAAGCTTGATAAGCAATTTGCGAAGCTTTTGTATATGTTCAAGAAGTTGCATATCAACATACTATTTGCAGAAGCCTTAGCTCAATTGTCCAGCTATGCGAAATTCATGAAAGATATACTATCGAACAATAGAAAGCTAGAGGAGCATAAAACAATAATCCTGACATAAGAGTGTAGTGCGAGAATCCAACAAAAGTTACCACTGAAATTAAAAGATCTAGTGAGTTTTAATATTCTTTACAATATTGGTAACAAATATATAGACAAAGCATTATATGATTTAGAAGCAAGTATTAATTTAATGCATTTATCTCTTTTCAGGAAATTGAGTTTGGGAGAAGCAAAAGCCACTATAGTTACAATGCAGTTGGTTGACAAGTTGATCACACACCCTCGAGGTATCGTTGAAGACATCTTGAAGGTTGACAAGTTTATATTTCCTGTGGACTTTATTATCCTAGATATGGAAGAAGATAACGACGTTAATCTCATATTGGGTCGTCCATTTTTTGCTATTGGCAGAGCT